AGCACCAATTGGAACTTTGTAAGTCGGCCGACTGTGAGACTAAGTAATTGCGATGTTTGGTGGCCGCTGCCCATCTAACTTCCGTACTCGCCGATCTCGGTAAGTGACTTCCCACTTAGGGACACGCTAAAACACCATAATAACTGTCCACCACTACAACCACTAAGACTTTGAGCAAACACTATTGTGTACAACGATAATAGCCAACTCCTAATAAAGTTAGATCCGTATTAAAATTCATATAGACATATTTGGTAGGATTCAATTTGGATACGATTCATTGTGATTCTTTACATTTTAGATATACTCGTAGAAGGTCCTTTCTTGTATATTTGCGTGACAGTTTTATACGAGTTGGTATACATTACGGCTATTTAAACAGCACAAATCAAATACAAATTTTATCGATGACGTTTCGAAAACTTTCTCACGATTATTCCTGATATGCCCTCAAATATTTTTTCTTTATATTAAATAACTTTATTTATTTGTAAATTTATGGTTAATCGCGTTATATTACTTAATTTTATTAAATTAATTTGTATTAAAACAACACTGAAACTTTGATAGTCAGACGGTCGTTTATTTGTAAAACCCTAATTAAAACAGTTTAGCGAACATTAATTAAATTTGAAATTATAAATAAGGTTGCTACATTAGAGTACCGCTTACAGCGAACTATTTCATCGGGATCTTGGTGAAAGTTTTATTACGATAATGAAACCACGAAATTTTCTTATTTTAATGAAATATCTGTCTAGAGATATACTAACAAGATTATATTAGCATAAAGAGGAGAGAATTTATTATTGTATTTTTAGCTTTGTTATAAAAAGTTTTAATTAAATTCTCTAAGATAATAGGAATAAGGTAATATAATGTAATACTAGGATTAATATAGAGTATATTTAAACAGTGACAGTTAATGCCCGTGGGTTGTAATCACTATTATATAGTAACTTTAGGTGGATCTGGAACATAATACGTGTGTTTACGCTTCATTGTACAATATAGGCATAATATCTTGTTGATCTAAATCGAATCTATGGTATTGTTAGTTTGTATAACAATATCGTAGGAGCTTAACGTATTAACTATATTCCCAAACCAATACAATGACTACCTTTTGATTAATTATATTGATAACAAATGAATTATTATTACGAAAGTACTAAGTTAATATGACTATTTTTATTGTACCCTTTTTGCACATAAATAAATAAAGTATTATCAAATAAATACCATAAAAAATGTTTATTTATTGTTTTAAATTTATAAATACAAGCTATCTAATATTTAGGGAGAATCTATGCGGCAATCATAATGGAAAACTAAAACAAACCAAAGCTACGGTTAAACAGAATTTAAATAATAAAAACAAAAAGTAAAAAAAAAACTTTTTACACATAAGACATCGCAAGTATATAATATTTTATAAATAATATTGTTACTTGATGCGTTATTTTTCCTAGCCCTCTCCGGCTACGGAGCAGATTCGGAAGGGCTCGGAGCTTACCTCAATTAGAAATAACTAGAATGTTCTAATCTTACTATGGAGTCAGCCATTTTTTAATTTCATACCTGATATTTCTATGTTGCATTACGAATTTAACCCTAACAATGGGAACGGATCAGTTATTAATTCATAGAAGACCTGGATGGTTTCTTGGTTTGTTTATAAGTAATTTAAAACCAAAACTAATTATGAATATATGTTTTTACTGCCGCAATCCTATACTGGATGTTTTTTTCAAAAAAATATTTTATAGAATGTAATATTTCTTTCAAACATTTATTACATTCGCTATAAAACATAATCTCTGACATTTATAGCCGCAATGATGAGCTATGGGAAACTTATTGTTATTGTAATGTATCTTCACACGTGCGTATTTCACAATACAATCCAAAGTCGCACGTGTACGAAAGCCCTTACCACGAGTCACTAATTGATTATTTTACGATGTTACACAGTAAGCTGATAGTCAATGAATCAGGACGTTAAAGCAGCCAACCGGTCGACTGTAACCATGAATTGTCCCAACGCAACAGGAGGTCTTTTTATTGAGAAAACGTGGGTCACTACTAACGGTCTAACCTAAAAGGCGAAACGGAAACTAGCTGAGTCAATATTTAAAGGATCATAATACGAGTAGAAGCAATAAAAACTCTTTTTGTCCGTCGGTGTCAAATGCCACGATCTTATTTGTCCCTAACTGGTATTTTATCTTACAAGTGGATACATTAATGTTGTTTTTGTTTTGGAGCATTAAAATGTAATAAAAAACTTTCCCTGGGTTAAAAGAAAATCATTCACTTAGATAAGATTTTATTGAGCATTTTATTAAAGACATCGATAGGTTTGATTGGTTGTGACTTACGAAGGAACCGTAAAATGTTTATAACATATTAGAGTAAGCATTAGTAAAAATAAATAAAATAAATGATCCTGACACCTGAGGGTTTATCAAGAATATTAGTGAGAACGTAACATTATCAACAAAAGTTTATTATATTTGTGTCACTACCGACCGTAAAAACCAACAAATCTCATACACATTTTGTCGATTACAACTTCCGAGAACCTTTTTTTGTTAAATAAACGATAGTCCTTTGTTTTATTTTTTGTTCGAATAATTCAATAGTAATTGTTTCGGGGTAAAGTATCTAATTATCGGCTGTTACTTAACATCCGTTAGTCGATTATCGGCATTGTGAATATAATGCTGAATTATTATGGGGTTTAGAGTCACATAGCCGTGAGAAGAGGCTCCGAGCGGAGCGGCGTGGGCGATCCAGTCGGGCATAGTCGTTCCAACAAATTACCTTTACCCACTTCTGAGTACACTTCGTGTTAACTCGTAGTACGACCGGCGCGAAATTCTGTATGCATAATACTCGAGCTACAGTAAAAAAAACACTCCACCCAACAAGTTTTGTTCCTACCACAATAAAATCGCGTAGAAAGATAAAAAGTGACCTTGACATTAAGTACATTTGATAATTATCATGTTTTGGATGTGAAATATTATCTTATATTTATCATTGATAAGATATTTTTTTATTCCTCTTTTTTATCTTTTTAAATATTTGCCAGTACCCCTTAATTGTTTTATCTCAAAATTAATGCGGTTCGAAAAAAATATCGCAATATTTTTATAGAAATTACATTAAGACTGAACAAAAATGAGTTTGTAATCGTTTACATATTACGTTAAATTATGGGTAATGTTTTAAAAAAGTACATGCGTACTAATTAAAAAAAAATGTTTACTTTTACACTTTTATCTCATAATCTTCTGTAATTAACAGAATTGAAAGTTATTTACATGCTTATCTCTTATTATTTTTACTGCAGTTATCATTACATTGTTCCAAAATTTAAAATGCATGAATAAAGTGTATTAAAAAAGAAAAAAAACGCAGCAATAGCTGTCCATAACTGGTACAGGAATAAATACCGTTCACAAACAGACGGCAGTTCCACCTGACGCGGCTACAAATTCGAATAAAACATATCCATGTATCAGCAACCGAATCGCACTAGCGTTCGTTTTCATTTAAATTTCAGCCACGCCACTTCCGAATTCATTTTTGTATACCAATTTTTGCACGACAGTATAGTAATGTTTTCATGTCTGTACGTTAAATCATGAAACATTTCCGTCTCTTCGTCGGAGTTTCATAGAAGTGCAATCGGTTAGAATCACAGCCGAATTCTCAAACGATGATGGGAAAAGCAGTAGGAGACGAGTAACCTTCTAACGCTAAGATTATCTATATAATAAAGCGTAAACACAGACTTCTTTCTTGTCTAAGATGTCTGCAATTACAGCATATTTTTGAATAATTATTTTTTTAATAAAAACCCTACACTTTTGTCATGCTTTAGGCTATATATTTCACGCCACTTAACTTAGGAGGTAAATAATTCGGATAATAACCCTAATGTGGTAAAGAGTCCATAAGTTGCTGCCAACATCAAGGAAGCAAGATTGCCAAGGTTTGTCATTTTGACATTTGCTATTGATAATTTGACAAATGTAAACAATAAAATAAAATGTTCATAGTTTCATGCGGATGAAGCCGCACGGGAACAGCTGGTTTAATAATAATAAGGTAACCCTTATCTTAAATAATATCTATTAAGACAACAGTTTTTGATAATCGCTGGGGAACGTGCAAAAATGTACTGTAGATGATAAGAATTAGGACATCAAAAACTATGGGGTTATCTTGATACCACTTTATGCTTTGAATGATTTATCAGTAGTCATTTCATTATCAGAGATACAACTTTATCAATATTTTAGATAATTTCATCACCTCAGATAATACGTGAAACAACATTTTTTACGATACCATTTCTTTTAAATAGTAATATTACGATTTATTCTATGAAAGAAAGCCACATCTTACATGATATATTACTTTTTCGTCATATGATTTCTGACTCAATTTTAGACTTATTTAGCTTCTTGCATCTCGAAACTTGTAGTCAGTCACTTAAATCAGCCGGTTTGATTGTTGTCCTACAATTTTGATAGATACTTGTATACAAGATTGTAAAATAATAAAATTTTAATATTCATAAAAATAACGTAAAGATAGAAAAGACTGTCAACATAGGAATAAGTACGGTGAAGGAAAACATCGTGATGCAACCTGCACATATCGGCGAAGATATATGTGTAGTCTACGAACCCGCAGTGGGCCAGCGTGGATGACTATGTCCTAGTCACCCTAACATAGGGTAGGCTCCAAGCTCCTCGGTGGGGACGTATAGCTGGTGATGATAGGAATAAGTAATATGTATAAAAACTTAAATTGCATCATTGCAACTTATTATCTTGTCAAATCCAAAATAAAGTCATTAAGGCTTATATTTTAGTGTCAATTAATGTTTAAAATTTTAATATATCATTGTAGATATTAAAACAACCTTGAATATACCGCATCATATTTTGTAGTTGATAATAAAGTGTTCAGTTGAATTTCGTTCGTCTTTGTAATCGCACTAAAATGAGCGGCATTATTTATGGTGATCAAAATATTTTCTTACCATCTCATGGTAACTATGGCAGATATGTATTGGATAATATTCTAAAATTTAAGGATAAAGTTGCTTTGGTATGTACGAATATTTTATATTTACGCTGTATGTATTAAAAATCTGAATGTCATGATCAGAAGTTTAAAGTACCTACATGTTTTGTTTGCGGTATTTATCTTAGAAAAACTTTATTTCATTAAATACATTTGTGAAACATTTAATTGCAAATCACAACCATAGCAAACTAATTCCTTGATATTGGCAACCTCAAGTTCATGGTCCCATTCCCACATAAAGGTTTTTTTTTCTAATTTATTTACCACTTAATTTTAACAACGTGAATATATATAGCATAAAGCGTGATGTAAGCGTAGGACTTTTCATAAGAGAAACAGTTATTCAAAATTATACTGTCATTGCTGACATCCTACGCCACAAAGTAGTTTGTGTTTACGCTTTATTATAATAGTATAGATTAACAATGTAGCTTTCGCCACTGATTCCGCGCTCGGCATTAAAGAATAAACTTAATTAGTAGCCTACGTATTCTTTCAGATTTTATTTTACATCGATACCAAATTTCATCGAAATCCGTTCAGCAATTTAGACTGTAAACTCTAACAAACATCCATCCACCTGTCTAAACGTTATCAATTAAAATATTAGTGAAAAGCAAAATAACTAAACACACTAAAAATTGTAAAGCAAGTTGTTTTTAAAACTAAAAGATCTCTCATTTCAATTCTGATGACAATTGAATTGTGATCGCAATTTACAAGCAGGATTTACTTTAAACGTATCGAAATAAAAACGGAATTAATCCGAGTTGAATGGAGCAATCCAACGAAGTCTTAACTTTGAAAGGTCGTCCCGAAATGAATGGACTCTTTCAATTATTTGAACAGAACGATGGTCTGAATACTTAATTTTCTTTTAATTTAAAGATAGATTCCTTAGCTCAGCTATACCCTGTCTAACAAAGTTTTGTGTTCGGTTCCTTATTTTTGCCGACTGTATTTAAAACTAACTGTACCTGACTACTTTTAAATATCTGTATAAACAGAGTATTAAAATTAAGAATTTCTTAGAAGACTTCTTAACTTTGGAGTTAGTTATTAAATCGTTTGGTCGGCTTCTTTTCTTAGATTAAAAGCTTTCCTCGGAAACTCAATTGAAGCTTTTCATTTGGATTAAATTCATGTCATGTTTATTTTTAAACTGGCATGTATTTTCGAATTTATTTTTTCCTGATAGTTTTTAGAGCGTGGTTGGCTCAGTGGTTTATGCAGTTGACTTGTAAGCTACAGATTCTAAATTCGAATCCCATCATATACCAATGTAATTTTCGAATTTTACATATATACAATTTACTTGCCGTTTTTACGGTAAAGGAAAACATTGTGATGCATCATGCACATATCGGTGGAGAAATTCAAAGATATATGTGAAGTCAGCCAAACTGCTGTGGGTCAGCGTGGTTGACTATGGCCTTATCAATCCTAACTATGACTCGGCTTCAAGTCCCTCACTGGGGACATATAGCGAGCTGGTGATGATGATGACAATGATAACTTTTTTTAGATAAATGGAGCTTCCGATGAGATTACTACATTTGGTGAATTGGCTCAGAAGGCAGTAAACTTAACATCCTACTTAAAAGAACAAGGTGTGAAACAAAATGATGTTGTGGCTGTGTGCAGTGAAAATAGAACAGAATACATGGTGACTGTGATCGCTGTGTTTTCTTCAGGAGCTACTTTGGCTTGTATCAATAATGCCTATAGTGATGGTACGTACTATACTAATTAAGACATAAAATAAATACTTCATTGTGTTAATTGAATTTAAAACTAGAATGGCTTTCGCTATACAAATTTAAAGTCTCAAATTAGCTAAAACAATGCATGTTAAATCTTTTCAGATGAAATGGCACATTCGCTTGATATAGCTAAACCTAAGTATATAATTCTATCACCCGAAGCGCAGGAAAAGTATAGCAAGATCGTAAAAAGTGTAAAATCCATTGAAAAAATTATCGTATTTGAAAACAAATCAAAGGATGCAGATACAATTAATTTTGATGATATTATAAAGAAAAACGTAGATGTGAACACCTATAAACATGTAGATTTAAAAGGTAAGAGAAAGTTTACATTAACTATAATACAAACTATCAGCATTGGTAAATAATGTATAATACCATTAACATAAATAATTTACTTTATTGCTTTTAAAAGGTGGAACGGCTTTAATATTATACTCATCGGGAACTACAGGACTTGCTAAAGGTGCGAAAATAACCCACACCAATTTAATCACATCAGCTCAACAACCACTGTAAGTTATTTACAACATATTATTCGTTTAATTAATGTCACACTAGATTTCGCCCGCAAAAAAAAAACAAAAGCGAGTAACCTATGTGTTCTTCCAGACTATCCTCTAAATGTGTCCCAAATTTCATGGAAATCCGTTCAGTCGTTTAAGCTACACAGTCTAACAAACATCCATCCATTTATCAACTTTCCCATTTATAACATTAGTATTGTTTAAGTACATTTTTTTGAAATTTACTTTACTTCAACAGACCATCAACTAGAGACCTCATCACAATATTTGTGTCTCCATGGTCTAGTACTATGGGTCTCATTTGTTCGTTACATGAAATCGTTGTGGGCAGAACCATAGCATATCTTCCCAGATTCAATGAAAGACAATATTTATATGCTATACAGAAATATAAGGTTAGTGTAATAACGTAATATAATTTAGATTTGTGTCCTAGATAAATAAATGATATTTTTTTTATTTCAGATTGCAATTTTAACAATAGTCCCGCCTGTGGTCGTGATACTTTGTAAATCGACTATCGCTAAAGAATACGATATCAGTTCTGTGGAAATAATCTACTCTGGTGGTGCTCCTTTAAATATGTCAGTCATTACGGAGCTTAAATCTAAGTACGTATTATTATTAATTTGATATCTAATTTAACCTTTTTCATTTGAAGGTCTTACTGCTTTAATTAGTATTCCTTAAGTCGACGCCTACTTTTTGCAGTGCTCTTTTACTGCTACTTTGCGCTACAAAAGCTTCACTTATAATATTTTTTTTTATATTTGTTCAATTGTTTTTAATATTTTGTGCAGATATCCACATATTAAGCACGTATTGCAAGGCTACGGTATGACAGAGGCGACCGGTGCACTGACTGCGGAATCAGAAGATGAATATAAAGAAGGAAGCGTCGGTAAAATTGTAACTGGGAATATAATGAAGGTATGAATTGCTTTCATGTCACATACATACGTAGCAAAGCCGAGAACTAATAGACTATTTAAAATAAATAGTAAAAAAATCCTTGATGTAAAGTGATGATTTGTTTAATGCTTAATAGGCGTTAGAATTGCTGAAATAGCGTTTTCTTCATATTTATTATAAGTAAATATATTTCGACTCTGTCTTCATACTTTCATCTGTAGACAGTCATTTACATCGTGGGATGAATTGTTAGTTGATAAAACGTGGGATGCAAGTGGAATAACCCCTACAGCTTAATGACATTTTAAAAGACTTTTTTTCTCAATATCTAGAGAACGGTTTCAGATCATGAACCCTAAGGACACATGTTTTATGTATTTATGGTTATAGCTATTGTATATAAATCATCATCTACTTGCCCTTGTCCCTTACGGAGTGTCGGCACAGTTGTGCTGCTCTTCCATACATCTCTATCAGCCGTCATATCTGAATGCATCCTCTCTAAAGCATATCCTCTTTCACACAATCCATCCATACTATCTTCGGTCTTCCTCTATCTTTGTAGCCATCCACCTTCAATCATAACACTTTCACAGCTATGGTATAAAAAAAACTATGAAAACAAACTCAAAATAACTTTATTATTTTACGTTGTGTACAACATACATGAACAATAGTCCAAAATGATTTTAACATTTCGAATAAAAATTGGTATAGCATTTCGTAGGAAAACCACAAATATTTTTTTACGTACAATTTCCCAAAATAACACTAAAAGCAGACACAAAAGGTCAACCTTTCGGACAACAGAAATGTATTTTTATTCTTTATTATTACTTTTAGATAGTTGATGTCGAGACTCGTAAAATATTGGGTCCCGGTCAGACGGGGGAAGTTTGTGTGAAAGGCGCCGTACAGTTCGATGGTTATATTGGAAAAGATTCTAAAGACGAATTTGATGAGGACGGCTTCTATAAAACTGGCGACATCGCGTATTACGACGAAGATGGCTACTTCTACATAGTCGATAGAATTAAAGAACTCATTAAATACAAGGCTTGGCAGGTTAGTATTGTTAATAAAAATCAGTTTTGCGCTTGAGCATCGGCGCAACACTTCAAGTAGATCATGCATACGCGTCCCTTCCCTATGACATCTGTCAATGTCATTCAGACGTATTAGAATAGCGGCCCATTCTGGCGGGAGTTAGTGGTCTATATAATTACGCTATCACAATTGTATTAATGTCTAAAAGTATTAAGTTATTTTCTTATAAAAAAATAATTTTAACAACTTCAAATAGTAATGCGATATTTCCACTAACGTTACGACTCTGTGTGTCAGTAATTCTTATAAAAATTCCCCAGGTGCCACCTTCAGAATTAGAAGATCTGTTACTACAACACGCCGCTGTAAAGGATGCTGCAGTATCGGCTCGCCCTGATGTACTCGCTGGGGAACTGCCGACCGCTTTTATTGTTAAACAACCAAACGCAAATGTTACCGAAAGGGATATAGTAGAATTTATTGATAAAAAGGTCAGTATGGAATCAGCTTATGGCTCTCATCGCTGTGTTTCAAATAAAGGAATGTTCTAGATATAATTTTTAAGTCAAAAACGAAACTCGAGATAATAAGTGTTTAGCTAGTATGTAGCAAAATAATTCGTGTATTTTAGTTTCGCATAGCGTGATAAAAATAATGCATGTCTAAATTTTATTCTCTAAATATTATTAAGCGTAAAATTCCTCTCAGTTCCGTAACAGTGAAAATGTAAACATTATTCCCAAGAGGGGTTTGTAACGTTACAATTTTCATGGTAAAGAGCTTCGTGCTGGCAACGCTCGACCGCTGGACTAATAAAGTGCCGTGTTCACATGCAGGTGTCGCCCTGGAAGAAGCTACGAGGCGGTGTGATATTCGTGAAAGAGATACCGAAAACATCGAGCGGTAAAATAATAAGGCGGAAACTACGTGAGATGTTACCTAAGCTACCAGCCAGCAAACTTTAAACACTCGAAGATATTTTATATATTATTTTAAAAAGTGTTACATTGTACTGTTTACAGAGTAAATCGCTTAATACCTATGTTAAAACGAAATATTATATAGCATGACGTCATTGTTCTCGCAGTTCGTGTCGTTGCAAACGGTTTTCACTATGATCGTGCATAGTTATACACAATTTATTAACATTATTTGTATTGGATTTTAATAATGTTCTATTAGTTATCAATAGTGTCTATTTGTGTTTCTATTCATATGAGGTCGGTGTAAGCATTATACTTGTAGTTATGAAATAAAAAAAAATCGGTACACCTACACAAGGTCAATATTTACAGAACATATTTACTCTGTATTTCGAAATTTGCATTTCATAAAAAGTTGTACTGACAGGATACGAACCCACACACTTTCGCACACATGTGTCAAAAAGAATTCTCATGGCTTGTCACTACTTACGTATTTTTTATAAGTTTCTATTCGTATATAAAAGAAAAAAAGACAATATTACTACAAAAAGCTACAATTTACATTAAGCCCCATGTATGTTTAATTTCACAGTAAAAAGTCCTTTATAATCCGATAAAAGCTCTTCTACCTGCCAATACTTGTTAAGCCGTGAGTCAAAAGCTTTTTCTTTTAAAAAAAAAGTCATTTTAATTTTAAATCGACAAAGTCGACATTAATACGAAATGTTTAAATAACTTGTTAATGTGTTTATAATGTTATAATAACGATTATGTTTTGATCCCTATTCTATTTTATTTTAAATAGTGGAATTGTCTAATTCTAAATTTTATAAAATTATAAAAGCTTTATCAACCACGGTGTGAGAAAAGTATCGTAGTCATGTAATATAAGTAAATGATCATAAAAGTGTAAATAGGTATTTATTTACTGGCAAATGTCATGATATATTTATCTATTAGATAGTATATCTGTTTAATAAGGAAACTTAAGGACTACTTATTCTAGTCTGAATCGACCGAATATTGAAAATGCTTTACATTGTTTATGGTTATTATAAAAAAATCGATGTTCACAACAAAAAACTTAACTTTATCTTACATTGTTACAAAACTATCTTTATCATCAAGTTTTGTTATATTACCTGATTTGGAGACCACCCAACCTGTTTGCTGTCGTGAAAAATGTAACAGATAAAAACTAAAAATTATTGTATCTGTAAGCAATATAAAAAAGGTCACAGTCGTAAATTTATTATTTGTAAATGCAGCCTATCCAATAACCTGTCATCTTCATGCCTCAACCTTTCTTAGTATGGCCTCACAATAAAAGCACATAATAAAAACAAACTTTTATAAGTCGCGTACACCGCCATACGAACCGACAAGATACGACGGTAAACATTTACCTTTCAATGCCGCATTCACTCTATCCAGATCGTAAAGTGACAGTGGTAGTGGCTCGTTCAACAAGCGCAGCCGCGGCTGCTTCTCACCATTAAGGCCACCGTAAAAACCGTCGCTCAAAAATATTCCCGAAGAATGTCTATAAAGTTTGTACGCGCACTTGTTAGTCTGAAGCCAATCAACGGACACGATCCCTCCGTTTAAAGTACGACCATCGCCGGATACAATGTAATTTTTCAACTCGTCCACGTCACCTTTCATAACCAGTCGTAAATATAATTTGTAACTGATGAATACTTTTAGTTTGGGTTTTTTGCCGCGCTTTATCTTCCTCACTCTCAGTACTCGAGCGGTGAAAATATATTTCGATTCAGACACGGCCGACGACAGGATCTCGTAGTCATTAGTTATCGTCTCGTTTAAAACACATTTGGAGCCATTTGTGTTTTTCTTGCGGTGGAGCGTATCTCGCTTTTTTATCGCGTCCCCCGTATGGATTTTAGGATATACGCTCGTGATACAGAACAGGAAAAACACTAAGAGACGTAACTTCATTTTCGTTTTTTTCGTTCGAATACGTTTGCGAGAAATGTCAAAACGATAGTCATATCTGTTCCGACGTCGTAGCTTTTGATGAAAACGTATGGGTGAACACGGCGCGGACACAATGTTGCGCAAGGTGGGAGTTGGCGCCGCCGAGACGCGTGCGCTAGCGCAGCCTCGCGCGCACACTGGGGGCCTCGCAATTCTATGCAACCTTCATCGAAGTAAACAAACTTGGCCGTATGTTAGGTTAATCTATCCGCCGTCGATAAATTGCCTAATTAAGCGCTTACCAATACCGCTCAAAAGTGAAAAGTGGCAGAGCTGTCGCAAGAACTGTCGCCATGTAGCTATACTTCTATACGAACAATATTTGCTTTAAGAAAATAAAGTTGTTTTCAAATTCAACGTTTTTCGGCAACCCTATTAGCTAAGCTAGCGATGATTTCAGAGTCAATACATAACGGTAGCTGTAATAGTGAACGGTAAATCTAAATCTGGAATGAAGCAAAGCTGACTGTTACGGAAGCGGAGACGAGGCGCTCGTACAATCGATGTTTTGATGGGTCAGCGAGGAGTAGGATAACCGCAAGGGAGAGATAATGCTCGCCGGCGCAATATGGCGCAAGTTAACAGTTATTGGCGGCCCGACTCCCGGCCTCCCGGCCGTCGCCTTACTCTGAATATTCATGTTTGGACGCCTATCGCCGAAACGTTCCTCTGTGTACATTTGTTGACCTATATTCACATATCATATGGGAGTAATGTTGCCTACAAATCCATGAATATTTTCATACAATTAAATGTTATTTACGTATTTCCCGATCTTTCTAAACCATAAAGACTTTCTAATACCAAAAAATGACTAATTTGATGAACTAAAACTAGAATACAAAGTGGTTTATGGAAAACCTAAAGAATACTAATATTTGTGGTATAGTTTGATTAAAAACCATGTTTGTATTTGTTAAAGATATAAGGCAATTAACACACAATAAAATCAATAAGTCTTTATTGTTTTATTGGGATGTGAAAAGGACGACGGAATGAAGATGTTTTTGTTAAAAAGGAGAAAAAATTGAACCATACGGGGTGCCTAGTATCTATGATGAGTTTATTGAGCTTTTTACTCTAAGATCCATATAAAGAGGAAAAGGAGAAACTTACAGCCGAATACTGAAATGGCATTTAAATTTAACATTATTTAACATTGACAAGGCCACGCTTTTATTCGAAATTCCATTAAAATGTTACTTCTGAAATTGTGAGCGAAGTGTTTACCTTCGTTTTAGTATTCGGCCGTAAGTTTTCCAAATCTTTATAGCATAGTTGTTACAATATCGAACTCGTCAAACGCTGAACATAACTCAATAGGAATACCTTCCGTTACGCCTCAAGTTCTGACCAAGTTAGAGAGTCCGTTATCGGAGAATTCACTTTGAAAATTTGATCAACACCGTACTCGACATGTTATGTTAACTTAACCACACATCAAGTATCAAGAACTTTTTGAGGAGTAAGCACCTATACTCGTGTTATTATGTATTTTATTATTAAAACATACTTTTACTTGCTTAATTATATTACCATATTTACTATCAGCTATTAAAACTGCATGATATGTGTTTGTAGTACTAAATACTTTTTTCGTTTATCTCGTCCCTTGTGTAACTTTCTTGTCTCAAACATAATGTATGCATATTTTAATATTAATGATATTGTAAAGTATCACAGAGTTAATAAGCAAGTAATAAATCATACGAAAATGAAGAAACAATAATTATAGATTAATAAATACAGTCCGCGATTGTATGACGTCGTAGGTGATTGCAGCTCGCGCAAGGAATTTGGAAAGTGGTACGAGCGTGGGCGGGCGAGTCGCCGTCCGTCGCCGTCCGTCGCCGCGCTGCCGACGAATCTTCGACATCGCACTTTATTATTTTATAGCATTTTTCATAGACACTAGTTTATTTATATTCTATCACGTCGAACCAAAAGCGGTCTATGTATGCAATCTTATCGAACACATAAATCTAATCTGTAGTTGGGATAGGAATTTTAAGAGTCGATTTTAAATATGTTTATACGATTTATTGTGATCAATAACGTAAGCTGGGATATAGAATGTAATTTTGTTAGAGATTAAAATGTTACTTTTAACAAAAAACTATGATAGAAATTCCGGCCAAGAATTGAAAGCAATGAACTCTTGTCAAAGTCTGTTATTGCATTGTCCCGTTTATATTTAAGGGTATGAGATATGTTTTTTTATCCTCCTATATAAAACCTAGGTGACAACCCTATCATGCCAAAGAAATCTCGGTGTTATTTTCTCCATACCACGACACCAACCACGATGATAACCTACTAAATAAAAAAGGAAATTCTCAGCCGTATACCCCATTAAGATTGGCAACAAAAGGATTTTTAAAATAGAAAACAAAAAACCTTATTGTTTCGAGCCCGCCTTTAACTCACGTGGACGCTTTTAATATCCCCTCAATACTTATTAAGCGGATTAAACAGCACGCATCTGCAATTGTTGAGATTATCTGAAAATATTCTCACGAACCCCGCAAAATGGATTATTGGATAAAATAGATTTACTCACCTTGCCTTTGTCTATTTAATATTAATTGGAGAAATAAATAAAGCAACCCATAGCAGATTTTTATTTTATAAAGTCTATAAATTTTTATTTAGAAAATGATGTTTATCATTGAAGCAAAACAAATAAAAACAAGCGGTTTAAACTCATATAAAATCAAACTCATTAAGCTTAATAAATTCTAAGTTAAGCTACATTTCAACAATTATAATTTTTAATCTTAAAAAAAGAGAATTTTGTTAATAACGTTATAAGAACCGGGTGGTCCGCTTAGAGTTCGTGGATTAAATCATCGAAGACGCGTCCATAACTTTCTGTCACCTTGACAGAAAGACATTCCAAAGTAAGTTAGCCTATGTGTTTTTTCAGACTATCCTCTACATCTATACCAAATTTCATCGATTTTCGTCCATCCGTTACGGCTACAAACTCTAAAACACATCTATTCATCCATCTAGACTTTCGCATTTAATATATTAGCATGAAGTATGGTAGTTTTTATAGAAGTGTTGCCCATATATTTTCTTAGCGGATATTATAACTGGCAAAGTCCGAAAGATAATTTAAGCATGACAAGGAAGTTTAACGTTAAATTGGGATTAAAAGAAGTCACATAAATTGCATACATAAATCCTCCACCTGCACATCCAAATATAAATCACGATCGCACGGAAAAAAATGCAATTAAAAATTATGACTCGTTGTAAATATTTTACGAAGTACATACAGCGATGGCCGATAAAATAAGTTACAATGATTCGTGATTGTTAAAATAGAGTCAATATTAGAAAGTACACAAACCCTATACAAAAGATTGTTTTCCTTCGTATACAATTTTGTATCGATCCCACGTTGCGAGATTAAATTGGTTCTTGGAATGTTGGGAAAGATTGACATTTGCGACAATCAAATTATATTGAAGAAAGATTAAACAGCGATTTAGATTTATCAAACAAGTATTGGAATAGAAGTAAATAGAAACGATTTGTTTGTTTACGGTAAAAATAACGAAACATTCGAACAGTATGCCTTTTTACATTACTATAAAAGTATGAACTCTCAACTTGAAACTAAGATTTGATCAGTAAAACAATATCGTGTAAAGCTTTCCTACATTTATGTTTTGTATAGGTTATGTGTATATATTCACTATTGTTCTTTTTAAATATATTAAGTTAAACGCCTTTGCTTTGATTGATCTGTAGACACGTAGTGGCGGCGCGGTCGGGAACAAACGCAAGCGCGCACTCGCCCCATTAACTTAACGAACAGTTGTCGAGATGTCGATCAAACCACATCTCAATGCCCCGCCGCTGTGCATTATGGAAATAACACCCACACGATGTAATTTACATACAGCACAAACTAGTGCGGAGTATTACTTCGTCCTTGTTATATAAGTTGCTAACTCTTGGTCTATATGAACTATTCTATAAACTGCTTTGGATTGTGATTAATTTTTAATGATTGTCAACACAAAGTAACTTCTCTTTTTACTATTATTCTTGATAAGTTATATAACCTACCTTTAACAGCAGCGTTGACTCTGTCCAAATGGTAAAGTGTGAGGGGAACCGGATCTGTCAACAGACGCAAACGAGGCGTGGGCCCTTTTTCAGATCCAACGAATGCGCCGTCACTTAAGAAAATCGCGGAGAGACGCGGTCGAGGCGAAGGCTGACAGTTTGTCTGCGCTCGCGGTCTTTCCACCCACAGCGTAGAGCCACCCAATGTGTCCTCTGACGACCCCTCGTATGCTACAAATGTTCTAAATTCATCCACATCGCCCTTTAATACCCGTCGCAAATGTATTCTATATAAATTGGACTTTTTTCCTCGGCCGGCGTCACCCGTTTTAAGCTTCTTTACATTCAAAACTTTCGCAGTAAAAATAAACTTGGAGTCCCCTATCGCTTCCATCAAAGACCACTCGTCCTCTATAATGGTATCATTAAAGTTGCAAGGCGGCAAGACGGCGCGGTGCCTCCTGCGAGTGGTGTGCCTTTTTCTTACTTTGCCTTGGATCCGGATCGCGCCCGCGACGATCGCCAGCGCGATAACACAAACAATAACCATTGATGGTCTCATGTCGCTAAATCGCCGCTCGGACACGATACAATGTGGCCGATACAAATGCGCGTGTCACATTATGCAAATAATTTATGTCCCCAGAAGCTTGTAAAGCGGCGGCGACAACTTATTAAAGGGGCGAAGCGTTGACATCTCACTAATGTAAAGTCATCAAATTGAATATTTAATTTTTCGATGTCATTTCAATAAACTGAATATTATGACGATTTAATTCAACACCGCGGAGAGAAAACCCGTCGTAGTGTTTGCTCTCACGCTCGCGTAACGTCGCGATCGTGTTGGTAAACAAACGCGGTTCCCGAATAGAGCGTACAAAGTACAGTAGAGAGGCGTGCGCGCGCGCAGCTCGCCGGAGCTGACTGAAGGCTGTCACGCGCAGCCTCCCGTGAGGAATAGGGGAGCCCAGCGTAATAGAATACATACAATCTGCCCTGCAGTCATCGATACGGCTCTTCCTGCATCCCACTGCTAGTTAAAATACGATGTTTAGCTATTAGTTACAGCAAAGATACACCCACTACTTTATCCACATCGTGCAAATAAAATACCGTAACAACAATTCGTTTTCTTAATAAATATAAGTGGTTAACGCCACCTCATCTTGATAAAAAATAATTCAGAGAATTAATAACCGTGAAGAATTAACAGCAATTTGTAATCTTTTTAATCGATACAGGAGCTTATAAATTGAAATCCGATAGCAGAAATTGTCGAAAGGTATTCGAAGGATTAAAAAGAGAATTAAAAACATTAATAAGCTTGAGATGGTGAGACAAAGAAATGAAGGATGGTAAAAATAAATATATTGCAGCGTGCTGGGGCCGCGGCAATGAGCGGTCGTGTAGGCACACGGTGCCTTGTGCCGTGTGGTGGCGCGCTTGTGAAAGCCGCGATGCGTGCGATGCGTGGGCGAACTGGATGGCGCCGGGTACTCCGACTCCGCAGCCTTCGCTCTCACACAAGATGCAAGCTTAAGCGATCGCCTTTTTATTCTTCTTATAACTATTGTTAGCAATTCAAATACTTAAAAGGGACTATTACTATTAAACTGTCAATCCTAAATAAATATAATTAACATTCTTAACACACTCAAATTAATCAAATACGAAAGAAGGTTTATTAAAGTTTACAATAAATAGCTGTAAATATAGCTAGTTATAAATTAAACTTTTACGTATAATTAATGTTTGCAGGCGATCGTACGCAGTTTTAATTTAGACCACTCGAGTGGTGCGGGCAACAAATCTTTAAGGCGTAATTGCAGCATACCTAAGTTGATACAGAAACGTTGCACAACGG